AGAGGCTCTGAGATCTACCACAAGAAGCTCTGAGATCAAGATCCACTGGTTGATGACCACTGATATAAGCAGTACAGTAAAGACAATGGAATTTGTCATGGGACTTAGGACAGGTTAGTTAAGGAAGAAGCTGAAGAAACAGATTTCTGGGACCAAGCATCCAAATATGAACACGAGTAACTTCACTGACGTCTATTGTGCCATTAATTTTATTAGAATTGCTCATGTGATTAAAATCACTGACATATATTAGTAATTGCCTGACCCTAAGTTTATTACCTCCCTGAAGAAACCATCATGGAACAATTCCTGCAGAGGGGATTGGAACATGTGCAGTCATGCTGACGTAAGGGGAACTACTTGCATAGGAACGGGCTATTCACTGGAGCAGTAGTTCACAAACTTTTTAGACTCCAGGCACCCTTCATGAGACTCAAGGCACCCCTCAAAAATGACAGCTTAGTTTTCACTCATTTTTTTACTACAGAAAAAGAATAGAGCAATTCTTCTGTTCCAGGGGACTCAGAAAGACCACACCAGGTCAGTATGTTTTTTAACACTGAATTCCTAGTTGAAATACCTGGGTTTCTTTTGTTAATCACATTTGCACACCTAGGAGTGCTAACTTTGCATGGCATCATGTTGCACCCTTCAAAGGATCTCAAGGCACCACAGCGTTCCTTGGTTGAGAATCACTATCAGAGTGAGAGGAAACAGGATCCTGCCCTTTACCATTATTCTCTGTGTCAAGCACCACACACGTGTGTGGGACTATATAATATAAGGGCTACCTGTAATGCATGACATCATAAAAATATTTCATATTTTTAGTCTTCACACAAGCATGTCGTATACCTTGACAAAAACATCTCTCTCTCACCATTCAGAAAGGAGTAGTAAAAGGTGTCTGGTTTGTTTTTTCTTTGCCCTTTGCCTTTAATGAGTCTTTTGGATACTTCAAAACACGGGTCCGGATGAAATGGTAAAGAGCAGCAGCATGTTGATGGCTCTGATCTTTGTTTTTAATCTTTGAATATTTGCTGCTCTGTTGTGCAGGTCTCTTTTGTGCCCAGTTGCCAGTCCCAGTCGGGCAAGGAGGGAAACCGGGGACCGCAGCCTGGGCGTCGGCAGGGGTCCGGACCTCGGGAGCGGGTGGCTGGGCTGCACCGCGGGGACCACTGGCCGGCCCCGGCAGCAGAGGCGCGGAGAGGCCGGCGGGGAGGGCAGTCGGGGCGCGGGGAGGGCTCCCAGCCAGGCCCCCTGCGCGCCCCTGCTTTACAGTCCCCGCAGCCTCCGGCGCGCAGCTGCGGGGAGCCGTGGTGCTGGAAGCTGCCCACAGGCGGGTGCAAATAACTGGGGGGAGATTCCTCCCCCCCTCCACCGCCTCCTGCTGCCCCTGACCCGGGGCTTTGATCTTCCTGGGGAAGGAGAAGAAAGCGAGAGTTTCTTTCGTTTGATTTTGCTTTCCCCGGGCTGCGCCGTTTCCTTTTCCGAGCCGCTGCCTCCAGCCCGGCCGGCTGGCTGGGCTCGGCTCGGCTCGGCTCGGCTCGGCTCGCACGACGCCGGGCTCAGGGGCCCTGCCACAAGCAGCAAGGCTTTGCTGCACACAGTGGCACGGGCCGCTCTGGTTCGTGGCGCCTCGTCCGTCCAAGGCACCGGCCCGGCACGCGGTCGTGTTTACCACGAGGTGCCCCTGGGTTTCAGCCCCGGAGCCGGTTCCCGCCCCTTCGTGCTCAACACGTCGCCGCGCTGCCCGGACCCGCTCCCACGTCCAAGCCCCTCCAGGAAGCCCGCGCGCCGTGCTGCCCCACGTGCACTTCCTCTGGCAGCAGCATTAAACCGCGCCAGTGCGGGGTTTTGTCCGGGCTTTTCCACAGCCCCCGTTTTCAGGGCTGGGATAGTTGGGGATGGTCCTGCTCCGAGCAGGGTGTTGAACTACAGGGACCAACCCTCGTTTTCTCTGATTCCGTGAACCGCCACACCGAGAGCGAACAGAGGACAAGGGCAGTCCTGACACGCACGTGGATCAGCGCTGAACAGCCAAGCGTGCGCTTCCAAGCTGCCCGGACATGAGAGCAGACGGTGCTGTAGCCTTGGGCAGTCAAACGCTGCAGGGTCAGCTCGGACAGTCTGGAGTCCGGCTGACATGGGCTCCGGCGCCAGGGATCACCTTGTGCAGGCGGCGGCGGAGGGGAGCAAGGCCGCTGCCGAAGTTAGACGGGACCTGCCCGCCGGGCACCTGCGCCCGCCTTTGTCGGCCCGCGAGCCGGGCGCGGCTCAGCACAGGGCGAGAGGCGATGCCGGGCTCTTCCCACCCGCACCCTCGCCTTCCAGGCTGGATCAGTAACTCGCGCGCGTCTCCGACGAGGCTCTGCAGACAGCGAGCGCTCCCGCTGTCTCGTGGCTTTGAATGAGTATTTTGTGCAGGCGGGTCCTGCACGAGCCTGGCGCCTAGGTGCGATTAGGCTGTCTTCACCCGCCCCACCTGGGCACGGGCTGCGGCGCCTTCCCCGCTAGGTGGCGATGCAAGGCAACGGCAGAAATGTCACTGGAGCGCCCAGGGCCCGGCTTGGCCGTGCAGGCAGCCGGCGCTTCCCCGGCGAGCTCTTTAGGAAAAGAAACAAGCCGATCCACGAAGATAACAAAGGCATGGCAAACAGCTGCCCGGAAACCACAAGTTCCCCTGGCCCCTCGGCTCGCTCCGCACCCACGAGGTGCGTTTCGCCGCAGCAGTCTCTAGTAAGGAGCTCAGCAAGGAGCCCGCGCTCTGCAGCGCTGCGGGGTGAGGCCCAGCTCCGCACGGCTGGTGCTGCGGCTTTGCTGGCCAGCCCAGGGTGGGCACGCCCCGGGGCGGGAGGCTCCCAGGCGCACGGCCCCCTAAACGCAAGGTGCCCTCAGCCCGCTCACAAGCACCTTGCGGGCCACTCTCACGGACCCGGAGGAGCAGACTTCCACCTTCAGCTTCCTCTGTGCAAAAATGAAGTTTATTTTCTACCTATGGGGACCTATGACGGTCTTTAATTTTCCCTGAGCCTGTGGAAGGGCGTGTGCCAGAAAGCTTGCAGGAAAAGCTCATTTCTTTGCCATTTCTCAGCTAGTCTAAGAAAAGGTGGCATCTCTGAAGCAAGAGTTGTAGAATTTTGCAATTCTGTTTTGTGAAATGCAAACATGCGAGGACTGAGCCTCGGGGCTGCCACGCCGCCAAGGGCAGGGCACGGCCGTGTGACCCGTCTGCCAGGTCAGGTAGGTGCCCGAGCTGGGGTAGTATCTGAGACCCACCGAGCAGGTTTTCCTCCTCAGACCACAACGGGAGACGGAGCAATGGCAGCGCTGTGCAGCTGCGGAAGGCAAGACCCGGAGACGCCGCTGTTAGCTCCAGTGTGTGAATCCGTCCTCCTGCTCCCCTCACTGCGCCTCAGCGGCGTGTCCGAGCACCGTGCTCCGGGGAGCGGAGGGTGGGAAACCAGAACAAATTGGCGGGGCCTCCCGGAGGTGCCACCCGCTGCCCGGGACCACTGTGAGGACCCAAGCAGGGACGAGCCCAGGCTGGACTCGGGTCGGACCTGGCTGAACTCAGAGCCCGGACTAGCCCGGACAGCGGCCGGGCTGGGCTCTGGCTGCGGATCCCGGCTCCGCTTCCCCCCGCTCAGCTGTACTTGCCCATCTCGCTGCAGCGGGAGCACGAACATGGCACAAACACGGGTTTGTGTCACCCCCCGCAGGCCGGCTCCTTTCTGTGCCCCCCCCAGCACGTGTCACATGCGAGGCGCCTCCTGAGTCCCGGGCCTGTGTGGCACCCGGGGGGGGATGCAATGTGCCTGGGCACCTGATTGGCTGTTGCTAGGTGACGTCGCCTGCCCTCACGTGACCGGTGTTAAATGCCCGCCTGGCAGCATCCACCGCTGCAGACAATCGTACAGCTGCTGGGGGCGTCGGGGCTGCCGCTGCCGCCGCCGTCGCAGTCGCCCGGCGCCCGGGGAGCGTGGTCGGCGGATCATGCTGGCTCCTGCCGCAGCAGCGTGGGATTGCCAGTGACCTGCTCCTGCGGCCCCGGCAGGGCCCGCGGCCCGGACTCGTGCTGCTCGGGCTCCTCGTCTGTCCGTCTCTGTCTGGCCGCGGGGAGGGAGGAGCAGGATGACCGGGGTGTTTGATAGCCTGGTGTCAGACATGCACTCCAGCCAGATGAGCTCCGGCACCTACCACCAGCAGCACCAGCACGGCGGCCTGCACAAGTCCCAGGAGTCCCCCACCCTGCCCGTGTCCACGGCCACCGACAGCAGCTACTACACCAACCAGCAGCAGCACGGCGCGGGCGGCGGCGGGTCGCCCTACGCGCAGATGGGCTCGTACCAGTACCACGCCCCCGGCATCAACCCCGTCCCCTACGCCGCCAAGGCCGGCTACGACTTGGGCTACTCGGCCACTTACGGCTCCTACGGACCCTACGGGACCCGGGCTTCCCCGGCCACCGAGTCCGGTACGTTGTCCGCCTCCTCGGCCGCGCAAAGGGGGGGTGGGAAGCGGCCCGGGGCTGCCGGCGGGGCGGGGG